GTAATATATATATATAAATATAAAACAAATTCATTCTATTTTAATAGATTAAAAAACATAAAGTAAACATACAAAATGTTGTACATATTTAATATTTGATTGTTATTTTTTTTTAAAATTTGAAAATTTATATTTTTTAAAAAAATACCATTATATTAAAGTTTCATTTATATTTAAAGTTTTTGATTTTTTACATAAATTTTGTTTAAACGTTATAAATGTAATTTAGTCAACCAAACAACGTTTACAACATCATTAAATAGTTTAATTCAATGTCAATAAATTGCATTTTTGGATATTATTAATAATTTTAAAAACAAAATGGGTATTATAACAATCCAATTTGGTTTAAAAATCAACAATTTATTCGAAATGATTATTATAATATTATTATATAAAAACAAACAGAGTATTTATTTATATTAACATAATATAATAGCCAAGAAAAAATAGATGCTTGAAAAAGTTATGTGTAAATTAAAAATTGATTATTTTTATTATTTTGATTTGATTCTTATTGGTGTATAATTATTAAATTTGTTTAACGTTTTAAAATGAACAATAATTAAAAACATTTAAGTAAGGTTTGTGACTGTACAAGTTTTTTATGGTTGGACAAATATTATTCAATTGTTTTTTGAATAATTTAATTTTTTTACTATTTTAATATTAAAACAAAGTTGTTATTTTTTTAATTTGCTTATTAATAAATTTTTAATATAATACTGGTGATTCCGGAATCGGTTCGGGAACCGCCATGTTCCGGAATCAAAAGTTTGGGAATATTTTTTTTATGAAGTTCGGGAACCAGTGTGTTCGGGAACTGATTGGTTCGGGAACACACCAATTTTAAGTTTGGGAATCAGGATGTTCCCGAACCGAGGTTAAAAATATTCCCGAATATTTTTTGATTCCGGAATCGGTTCGGGAATTTGATAAAAAAAATAAAATTCCCCAAATAATTTCCTGGAATATTCGGGGAGTGTTTCGACAACACTAAACACGACTTTGTCACTTTTGGGTTATGTGGGCATTCTTTCTGTAAAAAGTGTGTTACTGATTATTTCACCAGAGAGGTCGCAAATATGCACAACGTATTTTGTCCAGTCAAGGGGTGCAATTGTGATATCTCTGTGCAAGAAATCTCTAAATTAGACAACGAACTTGGGAAGAGAGCAGAAGAGATGATGAAGTTCAAAACACAGATATCGGCGAATCCAAATTTGGCGTTTTGTCCCAAATTTGAGTATTGTGGAGTGTTACACAAAAGTGGAAATAACAACAAAGTCATTTGCAGTGAATGTAAAAACGAGTTTTGTTTCAACTGTCGACTTCATTGGCATCAAAATACAAAGTGTTTTGAAGAACTTCAAAAAAGTGCAGAAAAGAATAAAGTAATTAAAGTAAGAAAGTGTCCAGCATGTAATATGAAAATTGAAAGAACCGAGGGATGTTCAGAAATGACATGCAGATGTGGGTGCAAAATATGTTGGTACTGTGGGTGTAATATCACGTCTATAACAGGCCATTTCACTAATGAAAATGATAAAGGGTGCACAATCGACTCTTAATTGATTATTTAATCAAAAACTACTTATCTTATTATTCTAATACATTTAAAAATAAATCAAGATGTTGTTATTACAATTTAATAATATTTTGTCACTTTCACAATTAAATTATTGACAATAAAAACAATATTAAGTGTTATTTTAAATAACAATAAGAATTGGTCTTCTAACGTTTTATGTTGTAAAATAAATAGCTATATTTTTATGTTAACTACTAATAATGGTTTAAATTTTTAAAATATCTTCACAAATTATTTCATTCTTATTTTATATATAGTGTTAGATCATGTTAAAGACTTTATAAAGTTATATTGTTATTGTTAAAAAACTGACCACAGCGGAGTTTGTTTTGTTATAGATAAAAACTTTTTAAATAGAACATTTTTTTTAAATTTAAATTACATTAAAACATTTTTAATTGAATATTTAAAATTGTTTCGATATTAATTTTATTACAGTAGGAGGAAATATGGGGATGCTAGAAAAAGGAGGATGCTCTTAACTATTGGTTAATTTCAATTGAAAAATAATGAAATTACTATTTATTTTAATATAAATTATTAATCAAAAAATCAATAAAATGTAAAAAACAAAATAAATTTATATTAATTATTTATTATTAATAATATTAAATTAATTAATATTTAGATTAGCATTCCACTTTTTCAGTTAACTATATTTTTAAAATAATAGCAATATTTTGTACAATCAAGATAATTAAATAATATTTAATTGTTACCCTGTTACCCTGTGTTGACTAAATAGAATTAAAACTTTTTTCTTTTGAATTATACAGATGTAGGACTAAAGTTTGGACAAGTACCAAGGTTTCGACGTTCTGTTTAAATACCATTTGAATAATATTGAACAAGTTTCACTATTTATTTTCAAAAAAGGTCTAATTATAACTTTTTATATTTAGTTTTTACAATTGTATAGAAATTATTAATTATTAGTCGTAACCATGGATACTACATCTGTATTTAACGACATGTATTAACGTGTTGATAAATTTTCAAGCAAGTATAACAAAGAACATAATTCAGTGGTCACACATTATACAGATCGAGTATTTAAGGAGTGCAAGAAACTTATTGGGTGCCAGAATTATTTTAAGATATGAAATGATTTTGGCACCCATTTTCATATCGATTATTATAGAGAAAAAAAAACAAATAAAAAACAAAAAATTAAAACCTGAATTTTTGCATCAATCAACCCTTTAATTTCTTGGCACCCATTAAGTTTCTGGCACCCATTAAATACTTTAACTGTAAATTATTAATACAAAAATAAAGTTTTGTACAAAACCAATTTTTACTCATTTATTGTAATTTGATTATTTAAACTAATAAATAATAGTACTTTTAATTGCAAATAAGCAAAACATTTTGTTCTGACCCCTACTAAACAATTTTTGCATAAAAAATTGATCAACACATATGCCGAAAAGCAACTAATAAACAATACTTTTTTTTATTATAAATTCTGTATTGTGTGTTGCAAAAATAATATCCAATGATTCGAACTTTAACAAAATTGTTGTGCTTTATTTTATATTCTTCAACAAGAGTTAAAAAGTGAATAAAATAGCGGGACATTTTCCCGTTATTGAATTACTCATA